CTCTTATATACACCCTGCTATAAAGATTAAAAGCATGTAGTGTTGTTGACGTCTCTTATATACACCCTGCTATGGACTGTATTTCTCAAAAAAATAATAACACAAAAAGTTAAAATTTTATGGGCTACTGATTGACGCAAAATATTATTAATATTAGTATTACTACTACTAGTAGTAGTATCACTATTAATATTATCGCTATCCCTCAGCAGAAACTTGTACGTAAATGTTTTAATATAAATCATATGATAATACTGCCTTCATTTATCTCGCAACTGTTTTAAAAAAACACTTGGACGTAAAACCGAAGATTTAGTACAGCAATCTTACCTAATAATACCGTTGAGAATAAAACACTTGTCAACATACAATTCCACATAACGAAGTATTGTTGCTATTAAACCGTTAATAACTAAATGGCAATCTCCTTGAACACGAGTCACTAGTTCGCCAGCAACACCTCGAGAAATATCGTCAAATCACTTCAGTGCTTGAACTAGGTAGGTCGACTATCGTTTTGGTTGAATGCGCACTGCAAAAGAGTCTGTTGCGTTGACCGTAAAAATTATAATTTTTCTTATAATTTTTGCAAATAACTTATTTGGTACTCAATAAAAGTTTTAATGCTATGTATTAAGAAACTAAAATATTAAAATAATTTAAATTACATTAGCGGAAGAATATATGGTAAATACTATTTAGAAGAAACAAACGTGCGCAATTAACATTGTGAGTAGGTTTAGGGGTGATGCTACGAAGTGAGTGAGTTTGTAAGTTTTCAAGAATATTTGACACAACGCAAGTATTATTCCTCATGTTAAACATATCTTAATATATCCAAAAAATATTTATCAAAAACCCTGAATGTAAACATTTAAAAAAGATTGGGTATAATACAATGTTTGATAACGAGGAACCCACTTTTTCTAAAATAGAAGTTTGGGGACGACTTAACTGGGTAATAAAAAAAAACGTTAGTTCATGAGGATGACAAAATCTTGTCGAAACATCGTACATTTATAATAGTTTTATCTTTACCCAATCAGTGAGCCAATAGGTTTCTGGCACCTTGGAGAAAATATTGTCTATTCTACTCGTTAAGGATTTTCACTTTTGGTAGTTATATTGTTGCTTTTATTAGTTATATTGTATTCTTTTAGTTTGTGAGATTGTGCTCATAAAGCTAATGAACACAAGATAATTTATAATTGTTGATTTAAAAATGGGAATAGGGATCGTCAAAAAAGTACAGAAACAAGTTGAAACGAAATGTAAATATTATATTTTCAAGCCTACAACTAGGGACTCTTATAAAAATATAAAGTAAACAAACTAGGCTGGAAATAGTGTCTACATTATAATATGAAGAGCAAATGGATGAATTCTGTCTAACAATCGGAAAATCGACTTTTTTGCTGTTATCAATATTTTCGCAGCCTTAGACATTGAGATAGAAGGTCTTGAGTGTTGTTTCAAAAACAAGTCTGTTCTATTAAAATGTTTGTGAAATTCCTGTGCGAACCCTAGTATGAATCACTATCGTGGTTCATGATACGACAATGAACAAATAAGAATTATACAATTCTTATAATTTTTCAAATTACTATTTGTCGTTTTTCGTCTCTTCTTTTTATATGCCCTCCAGTGAGTCAGCGGCAAGTCTTGGGCTTATTATAACGCTAAAAACCGGGTTTCGATACTCTGGTTGGGCAGCACAAGTGGAAAGCGAAACAATCTACTGGCAAAACGTATTAGAACGGTTTGTTTTTATCATTAAGTTTCTGTGCGAACGCAGTCTAGCTTTCCAAAGAGGCAATTGATTTCACTCATAACGTAAATTTCCTTGAGATTATCGAACTGCTTCCAAGGTAAAATATGTTTCTTCCAAATCATCCGAAGAATAATGAAAATCCTCACAACCTGTCATGGACTACAAGTACAAGAAATGATTTTGCTAATGAACAACAAAGGAAAAATGAAAATAACGGAGCAGACTGAAGAGGCAAAGTACTTTTCCATTAGAGTTGATTCCACTCTAGATATTTCATACACAGATCAGGTGACATTTATTATCCGTTATGTGTCGGTTACGGACGAAGTGTGTGAGTGCTTTGTTGACTTCGAACTTATACAACGTCACACTGGAAGAATCTCTTAATGAAATTGTGCAAGCCAAGCTTCGTAACTTTTGTTTAAATTTAACTGACTGTTATGTTCAGTCTTATAATAAGGCATCAAATGTGTCCGACAAGTACAACGAGCTGCATGCTCGACTCAAAGCTCTGAACCCATTGATGGATAATATACCTTGTGGAAGCCATTCCTTGAACTTAGTTCGTATGAACTACGTAGAGTGGTGTAGAGTAAGTGTAAACTACTTCCAGTTGGTTGGGAATCTCTACAACTATAAATGTGAACTACTTTCAGTTGGTTGGGAATCTCTACAACTGTGCTTCATCCTCTCATTGACGCTGGGCTATTTTATGCAAAAACTTGAAAAGTGAAGAAGGAAGGGAGGTATTACTGAAAAGTTTATCCGAAACTCACTGGTCATGTCGCTTTGAAGCTGTTCGATATGTGGTTCAGAACTACACTGCAATACAGATATCTCTGAAATCTCTTGCTGAATCTAGTAAAGAGAAATGACCGAACAAGAGACGAAGTAGTTGCGCTTATCAGTGTTATGAATCAGCTAGAAACTGTGTTCATGGCAAAGTTCTGGATTACTGTCTTGCCCCACTTTTACTCTACAAGGTGATTTCTACAAGTTGAAGACATTGACCTGATAACGGTTAAAGATCAGTTGAAATTTCTTTTCGAATAAATTCAAAGCTTATGGAAGAATTTCAATGAAATAGAGAACAGCACCAAAGAGCTACAAAAATCCATGTTTCAGAACTATCAGTTCAAAGTCAAGACTCAGAAACTAACACAGCTGATAATATTTTAAAAGGCAATGGTCGATTTTGCGTTAAAACCTAAATATTTGCCACTGGCGTCCGATTCAGCGTATGAGGCTCTGTGCAACCGAGTTGTTTTTTCGATGTGACTAGATAAAGAAAGTGAATAATAGATACGTGTTGCTGCCCATAACTTACCCAGGTGCTATCCAGAAGATCTGGATGAACATGGGTTCTCCAAAGAGCTGCTTCAATTCTGGCATCTAGTAAAGACGAGACAACGTTCCAATGTATCCATTCATCCAAAAGATCTGCTTTGAGAAATTCTATCTCGACGTCTTCATTATGTGTTTCCAAATGATGATAATGCTATGCAACTGTATCTCGGTATGCCTGTAGCTAACTGCTCAAGCCAGATATCGCTCTCCACTAATGACTATCATTCTTCAATAGAAGAAGGCCTTCTTCAAGCTTTGACTATACTGAATACTGAAAGTGATGTGATGAAACAGCTATTTTACCACGAAGTTATCACAAATTTGTTGTCCAAAAAGCTCACAAAAAAGCAGTGTAACATGCTAAACCATAATATTCAAGTGATAACTATTTTAAAAGTAGATACAAGATACCCTTACACAGTTAATGTATATTTAAACTGTTGTTTTGAGCTTTTGCCTGTTTATAGCTAATACTCAGAGATAACGATTACATCAAATATTGTGTGAAAGTTGGCTTATTTTATTGTACCTTTGAAATGCACTGAAAACAAGTCAATGTCTTGTATTTTTATATGACCATCTGCTAATCTAGTTCCTCACTCTTCAATAACCATGACGACTATGATGATGAGTGCTTCATGGCTCCCAAAGGCCTTCACACAATCCCAGAAGGATTAATAGGTCAAGAGAAATGTGAATTTGGCTGGAAAAAATTAAATAAAAATTCATTTTTCTTGGTCTGGTGAATTTTTTTTTCTTTTTTTTTGTCAAGGGCAAAACTGTCTACCCACAATGTTTTGTGATTGATTTAGCATAAGAGACGTCAACACACTACATGCTTTTAATCTTTATAGCAGGGTGTATATAAGAGACGTCAACACATTACATGCTTTTAATCTTTGTAAGAAATGAGAGTAACATAAAATTCCCGAAGCGAGATTCCCGTTTACTCGCTGTAGTTTAACTTTAAAAGTTTAACTTGAACTTTGACTTCTAATTTAAAATACGAGAAGATGAGAGACAGTTCAAGCTAGGTAAATCACTAGCTGGATCTATTCGTAATTCTGAAGCAGGAGAATATTAAAATATAGTTGATTCTTTATTAAGACTTGGAATATTAATTTAAATTGAATGACAGAAGCAGCCATCGGTAACGATACGTTGTCCTTTTTTAAGCAAATAGCGAATTCCACGAAAAAAAACCAAAACAAATACAAAATATTCATGAACTTGTATGTTTTTAAAAAAGTGTTTGACATTTTTTAAGATGCTTCGAATTTGAATGGTTACCATATGTATCGTGTTTTTTCCCCATATACCGTATTGTTGAAAATACGAATAATTTGATTTATGTCAAATAAGCAATTGCATTATTTATTGAATTATTTATTTTTTTAGTAATTTTACTATTTGTTGAAACCAATTTTTACTAGTTCGAAGTTGGAGGAACTTGTTTCAAAGATATCCTGATCGTGACACCCTTTTCCCTACCTAGGGCTTGAACCTATAACTATAAGTGTAAGGGCAGGTTAAAACTAAGTGTTCAAACATTGTCCTTCACGCGTATTAAGACTTCAAAGAAAAATGCAATTCAGTACATTGGCAGTGCTGGTGTAGCCAACTTGTTTACAAGTACATATAACTTGATTTAGTTCCTGTTAGTACATAATAGGCATATGTTAAAATATATAGAGCGTATCAACACTTAGATTATATATTACGTATATTGACATTTAATGCAATTTTGTATTGTAATTGTATTTTAAATAGTATCCACAGGTAAACTAATATTATCGCGAAAAGCCACCGATGGTCGGTCTTGCAGTAAAGTCATGTTGAACATGATTTACTGTAGGTTACTCTATATATAACG